AGCGTGGTCCTTCCCCGATCGAGCCAACCCGTTTTTGTTGCAACCACAATATTCCAGAAGGAAATATTAAACTTTACATTCTTCTAACAAATTAACTTTCCCGCTATGAAATCTGTTAAATATTTCACCTATATCCAAAGTGGCGACGGCCTGATGGCAGAAAAAGTCGTGGATGCCCTCATTTTCTTAAGTTTATGCACAAATTTTGATTTGATTAATGATTTTCCAAAAATCTGTACAAAAGCCTCGGTCGTCATCTTTAATATACGTACCAAAAATAGAAACGGCACATCACTCAAGAATGAACAACGCAAATTTTGTATATACCATTCGATCATTAGCGTCATTCATTCGTGGCCATTCATTGAAATATCTCAGACATTCGTCTCGCCGTTCACTTCATACTTACTTATACTTCAGCTATCTTGGACACCTTCCAAATATTAGACACAAGCATAGATTAACGAGATAATTATCAAACATAATAGATCTTAGTTTTCGACATTCACTAGGTCTTGAAGTATCAAACCAAAAGGCTAAAAAGCCTGTATTAAATAGTCCCATGCGAATTTTTTTTATTTTTTTTTTATTTTATAGAATAAGGGTGACAAACGAGCACACAGTCCACCTGATGGTAAGTGGACGCTGTGGCCCATAGACATCTACATTTATCCTCGATTAATAATCAAAACGCGTTGTCACCCCTGAGGACTAAGATGGAATGCCTCGTTTCTAGTGAAAAAGTATCTCCTGATCTTTACACTCACCATACAAAATACAGCAGTATTAAGCTGCTATTTTACGCTGGTATTCTGTGAGAGCGTGGGCCTTCCCCAGTCGTGCCAACTGCAGTGTTGCTCTACCACGTATAAAGAATCAAACCAAAAGTTTAAAAAGCTTGTATTAAATAGTCCTACGCGAAGTTACGTTGTAATAATATATACATTTATAAAATATAAGTAATGATTTCTTAAATTTACGCGAATACTACACATTAAATAAAACTAAATTTACGGATTCTATCGCGTTTAATTAATTACTTTTACTTATTTTTAATTCCCGACGGGCTAACAATGACATTCGGACGTCAAACATCTCAGTCCCCCGTGACCATGGGTGCTGTAAAGCACCCGAAACGTCGGGAATTAAAAATAAGTAAAAGTAATTACTTAAAAGCGATAGAATCCGTAAATTTAGTTTCATTAAAAATAAGTATATATTTGTAATAGTAAAAAAACTGGCTATAAACTAAAAAAAAACTTAATCTTAAAATCATATAAAGTAATCTTAACTAAATATTAAGACATACTCGTAATTAACTCTTTAAAAAAATTTCGAACAGAGAAATTGTACGAACACATGAAAGAAATGAATGGATCTAGGTTCTGGGCTATATTTTATCCGAAAATCTTGAGTTTTTCAAACAAACGAAACATTTATAAAATAATTCAATAAAATATTTGTACGGATTTTATCGTTTACCTTATTTTTAATTTCGACGTTTCGGGTGCTTTACAGCAATCATAGTCATGGAGGGGACTGAGATGTTTGACATTCTAATACGACTACGACGTTAGCCTAGTTACCTTCAGTGAAGGTAGCCGGCCTATTAGTATTCATCATCATCATCATTGCAGCCCTTCACAAGTCCACTGCTGAACATAAGACTCCCTCAAGGAATGCCACTAACACGGTCCAGAGCCACCTGCATCCATCGGCTTCCTGCATGTCTTACCAAGTCGTCACTCCATCTAGTGGGGGAACGCCCTTTACTTCGCCTGCTGGTACGATTCTGCCACTCAAGTACCTTCTGTACAAATTTAGCCGGTTATTGCAAAATAAACCCGTATACAATACCATGTATTATAAACCAGTGCTTGACTACTATCCCAACTTTGACTGCTAATTGTGAGGTCCCGGGTTTGAGTCCCAGGTCGGGCCAAAAAATCATCAGTTATTGAGTTTTTCCGTCAAGAAATTCTCAATAGCTGCCCGGAGTCAAGAAGTTGTCAGTGTCCCACCTCCGCGCCTTGAAAAGCACGTAAAGCCGTTGGTACCGTGCTTTATCTCTCACCGATCTTGTCGGTTTACCGTCCCATCGGACTATGAGAGTGAGGTAATAGAGAGTGCACTTGTGCTTGCGCATATATTTGTTCACTATAATCCTGTCCTGTGCCGATGGCTAGTCTCCGTTCCAGCCGCCGTGTCCGAAATTCGGTCTGGAGGACAGTTTTTGTTATTATCTCACTTGTAGGTAAGTGGTAATGCAACTGAAAGTACCAAAGCGCACTGATTTAGCTTAACAAAAGAGTATTTACTGTTGCCTTGAATATACCCATATCGTAAACAGATGGAAATACAAATAAAGCTTTACTATTCTAATCATATGCGTAATGCGTAGTATGGCGACCAAAAAGGGGTGGAGACAATCCTAGTGTCTGGAGACCCGATGAAGGAATAGAGAGGGAGGAATTAAGTCATGCAGTTCCTATGCACATCTTCAAAATGTTTCATAGTAAGTGCGACAGACTTCATTAACAATCGTAATACGTACGACTAACAGAAGGGTAAACAAAAGATTAGAAACAGAAATTGTAAAAACTAAATTTCTAGTCTACTCATCAGTATCCTGTGCAATCAGCTTATTGTAATATATATATATATATATATATATGTGTGTGTGTGTATACCAGAAGGTGAATAGTCTGATAAAAATACATCTTTTATATACTTAGAAAATTTAAACGAAAAGAAATAAAAAACGAAAGAGGCTTTATTCGATGAAATTGTTTAAAAATGAACTTCCAAAACAACACACACACACACACACACACACACACACACACACACACACACGCACACGCACACGCACACGCACACGCACACGCACACACGCACACGCACACGCACACGAATTTTCTAATCTTCTTAATCTGGCTGTCTGGCTGAAACCGAAGCATTCCTTTCTTAATCCTGGTCACAACATCATCTTGCAAACCACACTCTTTTCTTATCAAACAACTTCTCATCCTGTCATTCAGATTAAGTTTCAGCCCTAACATACTCCTTCATGACCGCTTGAGATTACTAGATTTATTTTGGCACGTAATCAACTGAGCAAAGGCATGAACTACTATCAATAGGCATAAACCAGCTCTTCCAAGAAACATGTTGTTTATTTACTAAACACTACTAAGAGCGCAAGATATAGGTGCCTAAGTACTGGACGTCAATTGGTCAAACTGACTTTTGCATTGCGCACTATAGAATTGCGCGAAAAATCGAACTTAAATGCGTATTAAAAATTTCACTATAAATATTTTAATCAAGTTTTGATTATTTTTATGTTGTGCCTGAATTTTGTTGCATTTTTCTTTAAAACTTAAAATAGACCGTTGTGACATCATTCGGATAATTGATGTCTGAAGAGTAAAGTTGCAAGTTTACTAAAATTTACGAAAAAGTCGGGACTTTTGGGTTGTTGTAGGTAGAAATAAATATTAAAAATATTGAGTTTATTTTTTTTAAATTAAGAGGCTCTAACTTTAAACAAAACAAATATACTTAAAAGAAATTTAATGACACTTAATTTTTAGGTTGCCACAACATGTATGTATTTACAATTGGACTTTACTCCCGAATCCCCCAACTTGGACCACCAATTAAGTCTAAAAATCACTTCAAAGTTTAGTCTAATTACCAATTCTGCTTTTGTTAAATTTACGAGAAGCTGTTTGTTTGGAGATCATTTCAACGTGGTAAAGCTATGCTGCAGTTATATTAGTAGTATAAATGTAGCACGAATGAGTCGCCTCGACCGGGGAAAGACCACGCTCTCACAGAATACCAGTGTTTAATAGTAGCTTAATGCTGCTGCGTTTCGTATGGTGAGGTGTAGAGAACCGAAGAACCTTTAGTGGTCAGGGGTTACAACGCATCTGCGTTTTGATTCCTAATCGAGGATAAATGTAGATTTCAAGTAAGAAAGTTCGTTTGAAAATTGTAATCCTGTAAATGCAATACATGACTACCAATAGCGTAACGGACACGTGATCGCTTCGTGATTTCGTATTTGAAACGCGCGTCGTACAATGAAGCCCGAGTAACGATATGACTTTGAACGCACTTGACCTGGAAACCATCGAGTGGGGTCTCCAGTATAAAAGTAACTTAAAAAAGTTTAGAGCTGTGGTAGCTCAGGTGCTAAACGCTCACTGTAAACTTCACAGTACGCCAGCAACCCGGTTTCGATCCCCGCCGGCCCCAATGAAATTTTTAACTGTAATTTTAAGCGCTGATTTAACACGTGCTCGGCGGTGAAGGAAAACATCGTGAGGAAACCTACGTGTGAAAAATAAGAAAGAAAAAGTATTTCTAAGGCAGGAAAGGTCAGCCGTCGTAGAGTCTACATCACCTGAGGATGCCTCGTGTAGAGGCGAAACACGTGTCGTATAGTCATCGATGGTGTGTCTTTCCCGGAATAGTGGTGTTGGGAGTAGTGGTGCCGGGAGTAGTGGTGTTGGGAGTAGTGGTGTTTGGAATAGTGGTATTGGGAGTAGTGGTGCTGGCATTAGTGTTGACGGGATTAGTGCACGCAATTGAGTGAGTTTGGGAGGTGCTCTTCAATCCAGGTAAGACACACCATTGTATTTAATTAAGCGGATGGTTGCGAATTAAATATTAATACTATGTATAAATATAAAAAATAAATTATAAACAGCTTCGAAGCGAACATCTCATTTCCAGGGGTTATTATCAACCCTGAGTTCCTTTATAACCCTTTTTAAACAAACGAGTGACGACCAGGTAAGCACCATGGAAAGTCGATGGATGGACAAGGAAGTCGATGGATGCAGTTGGCTTAGGACCGTGTTTTTTTGGTATTCTTTAGGGGATGCCTATGTTCCGCAGTGGGCTTGTGAAAGGCTGTAATAATAATGATGATGATGAAACAAACTTTGTAAACAAAAAAAAAACAGCTAGCTAAAATCAACACTCACCTCCAAGATTTCATCACCGACTTTGACAGCTGGGGTGGCCTTCGCAGCCGCTCCGGCTGGATGCATACCGCACACGAACACCGCCATCTTGCTTCGGTCTCGATGCCCGGCCAGACTGAGACCGAGCCCGGCTTTCGGGGTCCGCTCCAACTTGACCACAACCACGTTGTCTCCGAGCGATGCATACTTCTTTCGGATTTTATCTGTAGGACAATATATTTTGTTAACTATCAACTGTAGCAATCTAATGGTTTATCAAATAGTATGATTACTTGTTATTGTAGGTTTTTTAACTGACTTCAAAAAGGTACTCAATTCGGCTGTATGTTTTATTTATGTGTTACCTCAGAACTTTTTTCTGGGTGAACCGATTTTCTTGATTCTTTTATTTGAAAGCTGATGCTTCTAGTGTGGTTCCATATAAATATGATCAAGATCTGACTAGTAGTTTTTGAGTTATCTATAATAATGAGAATTTACTTAATTACTTCGAATACATTATTGTGTGTAGGTGACAAACGAGTACACAATCCACCTGATGGTAAGTGGATGCTGTGGTCCATAGACATCTACATCTATCCTCGACTAACAATCAAAACGCAGATGTGTTATCTACTCTGAGGACTAAGATGGACTGCCTCGTTTCCAGTAAAAAAGGATCTCCGGATCTCTACGCTCACCATACGAAACACAGCAGTATTAAGCTGCTATTTTACAGTGGTATTCTGTGGGAGCGTGGTCCTCCTCCGGTTTCCATTCGTGCTACGATCATAATTTAGCTGCACGTGGCTCTACTACGTATAAAAAATTACCACTTATTTCAAAATAATGTGATTAACGCTAGTTACCTTATTATTATTTTGTTAACCACTCTAAGTAAGCTTAAATTGATTGTGTTAAGAACAGTTAACCACAGTAGTCGAATGGTAGAATCGGATCCACGTCTCTCCGAGATTGCAGTCCGCACCCTATTGTCAGCTCAAACAACAACTATCTTCTTTTTATTCCTCATCACTCACCCTCTTCTAGACATGGGCTTCTATAGTTGTAGGAAGGTGCTAAAGTACACGCGCGTTCTCCTATAGTAGAACGCATTTACTTATTTGCTTGCCATTCATTTGGCGCACGCGGTAGTTATTATTAATTTTATATTATCACTGTAAAGGGTCCTGAGTGGTTTCGGAGAAGTGAAATTAATCCGGCTGTGAAATGCTATCGGATGGGTTAGACGGATTATATTACGACAGTGGCACAACAGGATCGGCTTGAATGGAAATGACTACGCTCTCACATACCATTCATAGTTAGCGTACATGGCAGGGCAGCCAGCCATAATAAGGTACCATCGTAAAATGTCAACATATCAGCATATCATCATTATAATAGCAGTATTACCTTGACTCTGAATCGTGGATAGATACAGGATTTTATAGACCAAGATAACTGTATGCTTGTAAGCTATAAGAATAAGTATATAAAAACTTGAAAATTTTTCGGCTGTACGATTAATATTGTATGGATTAGTATGGATTAAGCGACCTTAGGGATATTTAAGAGTCTACTCTTTTTTAAGAGGCCGCCGGTAACGCATTTGGAAATTCCCGGGTTTTGCAGTTGCTCACGGCGGTAGTCAATTACAATCCGGTGAGCCGATTACTCATCTATATATTAAAAAAAAACCGGCCAAGAGCGTGTCGGGCCACGCTCAGTGTAGGGTTCCGTAGTTTCCCGTCCGTCACAATAAGTGTTCCCACTTATGAGTTTAAAGGTGGCTATCCATTATGTTCGCGCTCCAGCAGCGCTCCGCGCTCCTGCAACTGCTCCCGGTAGTGGGTACGTGCTCGAACATGGAGCGTGCAATATTGCACGCTCCGCGGCTAGCGCTCCGACTTTCCATTCAAGTTCAAAATAATTTTCCTAGAAAGTCCTTATAAAGTTCTACTTTACAGATTTTTGTCATATTTTCTAAACTTATGGTTCAAAAGTTAGAGGGCGGGGGGGGGACACATTGTTTTTTACTTTTGGAGCGATTATTTCCGAAATTATTGACATTATCAAAAAATGATCTTAGTAAACCCCTATTCATTTTTAAATACCTTTCCAACAATATATCACACGTTAGGGTTTAAATTAAAAAAAAAATAAAAAAAATTAATTAATCCAATTTTTATTTTACCACTTTGTCGGCGTTATTGATACACATATTGGTACCAAATTTCAGTGCCATTTCTAGTGCTAACGGTCACGGAGATAAAGCGAGGATGGACAGACGGACAGACAGACATGGCGAAACTATAAGGGTTCCTAGTTGACTACGGAACCCTAAAAAAAGGTTATCTTCATTGCCTGAACTGTACGTTTACAGATTCTACATAATGAATAGAATATAATTTTTTTATCCAATAACTATGACAGTAACTCTTGTTGAAAGTATATTTTCATAGGGCAGAGGTTTTTTCAAACCAATGGTGTTTGGAAAAAAACCTATGCCCTGCTAAGAATCAGTAAGAAGCCCAACCGGAACTTTCTTCCACAGTAAAATAATACAACTTAGATAGGTTTTTTTTATAGAATAAGACAAAACGAGTACACAGTCCACCTGATGGTAAGTGGATGCCGTGGCCCATAGACATTGGAATTTATCTTCGATTAAGAATCAAAACGCAGATGCGTTATCACCCGTGAGGACTAAGATAGAATGTCTCGTTTCCTTTAAAAAAGGGTCTTCGGATTTCCACACTCACCATACGAAACGCAGCAGTATTAAGCTGCTATTTTAAGCTGACGGTATTCTATACGTTCGAGCCGACTCATTCGTGCTACAACCGTAATATAGCTGCAGCGTGGCACTACCACGTACGATAATTTAGGTTGTTATTTAAAAAAAAACTCATCTATGAAACAGCAGAATGTATTCTTAGTTCTTACATATTGGATATTCTACGTTATTCACAACCTGTTTATCTATATAAGAGTATTTCTATTGATATAAGAGTATTTCTATTGATATCATGAATTAAGGACGATAATAAGGTCAATAATGATGAAATATTATAAAAGAAATATTAAAGAAGAAAATAAAAGGGAACTCGTCGTTTCTCTATCTATCAATAGATTTTTTTTTTTTTTTTTTTATAGGATAGGGTGACAATCGAGCACACAGTCCACCTGATGGTAAGTGGTTGCTGTGGCCCATAGACATCTACATCTATCCTCGATTACGAATCAAAATGCAGATGTGTTGTCACCCGTGAGGACTAAGATGGAATGCCTCGTTTCCAGTAAAATGGGTCGCCGGTTCTCTACACTCACCATACGAAATACAGCAGCATTAAGCTACTATTTCACGCTGGTATTCTGTGAGAGCGTGGTCCTTCCCCGGTCGAGCCGACCCATTCGTGCTACAACTATACATCTAATATAACTGCAGCATAGCTCTACCACATTATTAATTTTTAGCCGTTTCACAACGATCGTTATTATTCCCGACCGAGTCCATCTTAAGCCTCAATTAATATAAACACTGGAGGCCAATAAGTTCTTTTATACGCCGATAAAAATCGTGACTAGAGTGAATCTTCATAAAAGTGAGCTTTGATGGTAATCCGCTTGAAATGTATCTGAAATATCAGCGTAATGATTGTTTTAGACTTGTGAAGAGATGTTTGAGGTGGTGGAATGGCGACTTAATATGGGATAGAGTCACGCTACGGTTATATTATGGTTCTAGCACGAATGGGTCAGCTCGAACGGAGACGGACCACGCTCTCACATAATACTAACGTGAAATAGCAGCTAAATGCTGCTGTGTTTTGTATGGTAAGTGTACCTAGAGAATCGGAGACCTTTTTATACTGGAATAGAGGCATTCCATCTTAATACAAAACTAGTGACAGTTCATTTTGAATAAAACTAAATTGACGGATTTTATCGCGTTTATTTCACTACTTTTACTTATTTTTAATTCCCGACGTTTCGGGTGCTTTACAGCACCCATGGTCACGGGGGGGGGACTGAGATGTTTGACGTCCCAATGTCATAGTTAGTCCGGCTACCTTCACTTTTTGAATATTAATTTTTGGTCCGATTTACGCAAAATGAGCTTATAGTATCATGAAGTCTTGCAGTGGTATGCTTAGGTTTGGGTTTAATTTTGTTAATTATAGGATCCCAAGCAGGTGGCAGCACCCATCCATCTTCTCTATTGAAATTTGGATGTTTTTTAATTTCAATAGCCTCGCGTATCATCCTTGGTAGGAATCGGTGTTCTTTTGCGAGAATTTGTGGTTTATCAAAACGAATGTAATGGTGGGGACGATCTTGAACATGTTCGCAGACTGCAGACTTCCCTCTCAGGGAAAATCTAAGAAATCATTAAATAATTAAAAAGCGTTAGCGTAAATTTAAGAAATCATTAGTGACAGTTCATTTGTATTTTTATTCTTAGTTAAGAATAGATAATCTTATGTCTGTGGGCCACAGGCCACACTCAGGGTCTGCGCTCGAGGCTGACAACACATCGAAATGTAACCTATAGAATATCGATATACTGACTACTGTGAGTGTGTGCTCGAGGCTGGCAAAATTGATTTCAACCACATCAAGGTTATCAATAAGCCTCTTAGAACGTCCCTTGACCGAGTCCAAAGCTGATGGGTACCATTTTGCAGCACAATATGTGACCGCAGTACTCCATGAACGACTGGACTTGTGTTTTATATAAAGTAAGAAACTGCGCGGCGTAAAATACCGCTGTAACCTTGGTAGGACACCTAGAAGGGTTGCGGCTGCTTTGGCCCTGAATTCAATGAACCGCCCACAGTTATAGTTCGGAAAAATCTCAATCCCTAACAACTAGTTTATTTACTGGGATACTATTTATATTATGAATAGGCCAAATAACCATACCAAAAATAGTTGGTGCATTATTTCGACCGAAATTTCTTTTCAAAATTCGCACTGTTTCTGCGACACAGCACTCACTTTGGAAATAAGTTTTCAATATTTCACAACGTTTTTCAGGCGAAAATTGATTCATTTTGTAGCGCGGTGATATTGCTCTGTCAATATGTTGAATATGAATGAGCTGCAGTATAAAAATAACAAGTAATTTAAAAAGAAACCAGCAGCCTACGTAAGAAATCATTATGTCGACAGATTTTAATCATATTCCTAGTTGCTATTTAGTGTAGAGACAGACTAT